TTCTAATGTTACCTGTAGTTATGGGTAAATATATTCAAATAGCAATTTGTTAATGAAAGACATAGATGTATATAGGTCCAAAGTCTTTTAGAGAAGACAAAACTATTTTTGCTTACACACTCAACTGGCATACTAACTTTTCTCTTGAAAGAGTTCTGAAAAATAAGATAAAATTTAATGCTTCTTATAAATGAAAGGATTCATTTAAAAGACTTATGTAGGTAAATACCCCTTGCAATGATCGAGGCTGGGGCTATTGTGGCCAAGGAGCAGTGCTGGGACATGGCTGTGGCAGGGAAAAAAGGGAAGGGGGCATCTGGGTAGTGTGAGCAGGATATAGCCCAAGAGCCAGGGGAAGGCAGGGGCTGGCCTCTCTGCTTAGTGCTTGTCAGACCCCACATGGGTACTGCCTCCCCTTTGGGTCCCAGATACAGGAATGACACTGACAATTTGGTTGGAGAGGAGCAGGGGCCACCGAGATGGTGGGGCTGGAGCCCTTGTGTTAGATACAGTTGGAGTTGGCTGTGCTTTGGGCAGGGCTTGGACCAGAGACCTCCTCTGGTCCCTTCCTTAGCTGAGTTACCTTGTTATCCCATATGTGACAAAAAAATGTGTGTGTGTAATCTTGGTTCCAAAAGCTGATATACACAGCTTTTGTTCTGAGACACTAACAGTAGTACACATAGCTATCAGTAGTGTGATCTTTCATTCCAAACGGTCAGTATTAGACTGTGAAAATACAATGCATAGTGCTCTTACGCAGTAAACTCCAAGAAGCATATTGGAAATAATAGTAATTTTTTAAAAGCTTCATTTCTGCCTGCATGCACAAGAAAGCAAACAATTATACATGTTATAGGTATTTGGGAAACAAATTACAAACCAGATTGGAAGCTGAATACTCACATTTTCACCTTTTTTATTACAAGTATTTTCCTGAGTAGCAATGGGCATCGATGTTGTGGTCTTGCTCTGAGGTAATAGTATGCCTCTTGGTGGTGTTTTAAATCTTTTTATTTATGTTGCTTCAGAAATACATGGAGATGTTTAATTTTATTTCTTTACAGGCACAAAGGTAGTTTAACCTTCAGCAAAGAGCTGGTTGCAGTAGTAATCAACCTCTGATTTCTGTGTTTTGAAGACAGATTCGTCCATCAAGCCCTGAGTGCAAAGCTGAGAGTGCTTACAGAGCACTTTCCCTTGTATGTTTGATTACTGGAGCCCAGCTGCTGTTCACAGTAATTAGTATGAGAGTATAATATCTTTCAGATGGGTGCTGTGTCTTTATTTCCAAGGTCAGATGACCTCTCTTGCTTAAATTCTCTTCTGTCTATGGCATTTTATGTAGGTTATTGATTTTTGATTGCTTGCTGGAAATAAAGTACTTATGGAAGGCCTGGTGAGAAAAATCAGGCAGACCTTGTATTCACTTGAGGGAAGTGCTACTAAGAATTAAAAAATGTGGGGTTTAGTGTTCCAGTTACCATATATGAAAAGGGATTTAGTGGTTCTAACACCCAGCCTTAATAGGTGATTCTATAAATTACTGTCATAAAGACTGATTGTTAAACAGTCTAATTAATGTACTTGACTTAGAAGCTTACTTCTCACTGAAGTATATTGGGGCTTAGGTGACCTAGGGCATTTATTGAAATCTACAATTTTATAAGTTTATGTATCTTTTTTTCTAGCAATTAAAATGTCTCCTTTTTTTTTTTTCCAAAATACATTTGATAATAATACTTTATTAGTTGCAAAACTAAAAAGTTAAATTAAAATGAAATTATTGGAGGAACGGCAAAGAGAATAGGATTTTTTTCAGTAAAAAGCTTCAAGTAAAGCTTAAAGTTTCCTCTTCATCCCCTCAAAATACACACCTTTGAAATTTTCAGTATCTGAAATTAACCTGAGATCATTCTTCAAAGCAGAGCAATTTCACACATGGAACTTTGGAAACCTTCCATTTGAAAAGGAGAATGGTGGGGCTCTCAGATGTTTTTAGCAATATTTTGTATGGTTTATAATCTCTATAATTTTTTCTCACAGCTAGACGTATCAATAATGTTGTCTGTCCATAATATGCATTATTTTACGAGCATGTATTAAGACTTCTAAAACAGGATCACAAAATTTCAGAAATTGTCAGAACTTTTGTTGTAAATATTGTGGCATTTGGTACCTTATTTGACTTGAGGTATAGGTAGTCTTCATATAGTTGAATTTTACCTTCTTTTCCAGTTTAAGATAATTAGCTCCCAACACCATTCATTTTTCCTCTGAGGCCCCCAACATAGGAAGGATATGGACCTGTTAGGCTCTGGGGAGACCTTAGAGTAGCCTTCCAGTGCCATAAGGGGACCTACAGGAAATCTGGAGAGGGACTTATTGCAAGGGCTTGTAGTGACAGGTCAAGGGGGAATGGCTGTAAAATGAAAGAGAGGAGATTTAGATTAGACATTAGGAAGAAGTTCTTTACTGTGAGAGTGGTGAGACACTGCACAGGTTGCCCAGAGAAGCTGTGGCTGCCCCATTCATTGTTGGCAGTGTTCAAGGCCAGGTTGGACAGGACTTTGAGGCACCTGGTCCAGTAGAAGGTGTCCCAGCTCATGGTAGGAGGGTTGGAACTAGATGATCTTTAAGGTCCCTTCCAACCCAAACCATTCTGTGATTCTAAGTTAAAGATATGGCAGGATACATAAAAGATTTCAGAAAATTGGTCATCATCCTGTGTTTACATGTAACTTCATTTCTTTGAGCTAATACTGCCCTTGTTCTGTGGGTGACCAATGACACTTAGGTGTGAGTTAGGGGCTACTTTGAATGCAACACATTTAAGGTAGAATTTTTAAACAGACCTCTATTTTAGCCTAACTCTATCTATGTGCAAAGCAGTTGAAATTTTATAACTGACTTCAGTGGGAGCAGGTAATCCTGCTTGGGATGGACTTTTTTCAAAAGGCTGTTACGCCTTGGCATCTTCACCCTTCTTTTTGTGAGCTTAAAAAGGAAAGCTCTCCAATATTGTTGTTGCTGTTTACTAAAATATATCATATACTGTGTGGGGGAAGAGTGTTTGGTTTGTTAGTTCTGGCATACCATTATATACATACCTGTATTCTGCCCATTCTTTCCTGATTCCTTGCAAGTCTTAGCTGGGAAAAAATGTACCTTGACACTGAAGGCTTCTTACTAACATACCTTCTTTAGCTGGAAGAAACAAACTGAGTTTTTTCATAGTTACTTTGAAAAAGGATTAATTTGTGTAGAACATCTTTATCTGTTCAGTTAATGTGATTTATTAGGTATTATAAGTGCATTTTTATATATACTGTATCATATACTGTACATTTTTCTCTCCTGTGATGAGGGTAGGAAAGGCAAGTCTTACAGGTCAAACACAGCATGATACATTTGCAAAAACTATGTATGAGCTGCTTCTGAAAATTAAAGGATCTGTCTGGAACAAGGGCCAGAATATATTTTTCTTCTTTTTTTTTAAGGACTCCTAAGTTTTAAAGGCTAAAACATTAGGTGTGTCAAGGACAAGGATGGTTCGCTGAGGTGGAAGCTGCACCCACTGGATTTCCCATGGAAGAATGGTGCAAGTAATTCCCACCTAGCCTTGCCAGCCTGTTAACTTTCCTTATACAGGGCAACTGAAATTACAGTTGCTTTCTCACCACAGGAAGTTAATCCCACAGCTCTTTTGTACAGAGCTCATCTAGTCAGCAAAGTGCCACCTGAGCCTCCTTGCCTCAGTTCAGAAGATTTAGTTCATGTTCTATTTTACATTCACATTATTTTTGTAATTGGTAATTGGCCCATGCTTTTATAGATCCTTCAAGTTAGAACTCTTCCAAAAGGTACCTTTTCTTTTAGTACTTATCACTAAGTCACAGGCCAGACCTGTATTTTATTTACAGATATGTGGTTTGACTTGGGACCACTAAGTCACTACGTTTTAAAAATGTAGGTCAAGCTTCAAAATAGCTGAAGCTCTTACATAAAACGAAGCATTCTGAGCTAGGTAGGCCTGTTTGCTCCATGAAACCTCTAGAAGCTAATGTATATTCTTATGGAGTTCTGCTGTTTCTGTGGCCTTTTTTTATGGCCTGTTATTACGGGCAGACATCTCTAGTTGTTATATAATCTTTTCTCAAAGTCAGCAAGGCTAAGATGCCTCACTAGTCTTCAATGTGGTCATGGTTAAGAATATTAGTAATGTGTTTGCCATATTTTAGGGAAGAGGTATGGTGTAGAAGTCATCTTAAGTGATTATAGGTACATTTCATGATGGTAACTGTGTTGTATCTAGTTGTCTTGGGCTTCCCTAGGGAGAAGGAACAGGTGCTTCAGATACCTTGAGAGTACATTTTTATTTCTAATGATTAGTGCTTAGGTTGACTGTCTCACCTGAAGGTACCATACTCAAGAAGGGTAGTGTGTATAGCTGTCACGTATCTGAGCAGTCGCAGACTCTTGTAATGGGACTAAATCTGTCATTTTACACTACAGCATCCTTCCCTTGCACCGAATTAGTGAGTTATAGGGAGAGGTGGAGCAAGGGTAGAATATTTCTGTCATGTCTCTACCATGGTTGAGCTGCTGGCCATAGTTAGCTTTTCTGACATGTGCCTGCCAATGTTATTGAAATGCCAGAGCAGTCAGTGGAAGCATCTCCAAGGGGTTGCTTGGAAGTAATTCTTCCACAAAGAATTTGTACACAGAAGCGAAAAGTGCAGTCCCTCAGGAGATCACTGTTGCTTGCTGCTGCAGGAAATCATTTGAATGGAAGGTCATACTGTTCTGCTGACTGTTGCCTGACTTTGGAGCTCATGAAGTGAAACACTTTGCTGTGAAAGGAAGGGTGCCTTTTGTTGCTTGTATTCATTGACTCCACCTTTTTTAAGAGTAACATTAAATGGTTTGGTTTTTTTTTCTTTCCAGCTGTGATAGACAAAATGTCAATACAATAAGTGACCTACCCACCAGAATTTGCCATGAACCATTTGGTTGGACCGTCTGAGGGGGAGGTGAGTGAAGAGCCAGCAAATGGAGCAGTGAACGAATCAGTGGAGGCTGACCTGGAACACTCAGAGGTAGAAGAGGAACAGCGGTATGCAACTCGCTACCCAAGACATACAAACAGCAGCCAAGGAGGCCTGTCTGGGCAGGAGGAGGAAGGGATGTTAGCTCGGTCAGCCAGCACTGAGAGTGGTTTCCACAATCACACAGATACTGCAGAAGGGGATGTGATAGCCACAGTGGAGGACAGTTACGACACAGAAAGAGTTCAGGAAAATGAGGATGAGAGCGCATATGCTGTGCAGTACAGGCCTGAGTCTGAAGAGTACACAGAGAATGCTGAGGCTGAGCATGGTGAGGCCATTCATAATCAAACATTGCCTAATCACTTACATTTCCATTCCATCGAACATGAGGAAGCCATGAATGCAGCCTACTCGGGTTATGTCTACACACATCGGCTCTTCCACCGAGGAGAAGATGAACAGTATGCTGAGCCTTATGCTGACTATGGGCTGCAGGAGCATGTGTACGAGGAGATAGGAGATACACCAGACCTTGATGCTAGAGAGGGTATCCAACAGTATGAGCGGGAAAGGGAAGAAGCTGATAATTACCGCAAGGAGGCACTTGGTGCTCGCCTTCACCATTATGATGAACGGTCTGATGGAGAGTCTGACAGCCCTGAGAAGGAGGCAGAGTTTGCACCCTACCCAAGAATGGATAGTTATGAGCAAGAGGAGGACATTGATCAGATTGTAGCAGAGGTGAAGCAGAGCATGAGCTCCCAGAGCTTAGACAAGGCAACTGAAGACATGCCAGAGGCAGAGCAGAGTTTGGAGCATGGTCATGCTCTTGCTGGTGGTGGGCAGGAAAGTAATGGCCAGCTCCCGGCTGGTTCTCGAGTTACATCCAGCTCAGGAGAATCTGTACAGAGGTACAGTAAGGAAAAGAGAGATGCAATTTCACTGGCCATCAAGGATATTAAAGAGGCTATTGAGGAAGTGAAGACAAGGACCATCCGTTCTCCTTATACCCCTGATGAACCTAAGGAGCCGATATGGGTGATGAGGCAGGACATCAGTCCAACCAGGGACTCTGACGACCAGAGGCCACTAGATGGCGATGTGAGTATACAAAGCTTTCGTTTCTCCGGTTATGTGTGGCTCGTTACTTTAATTGTGACAAAAATGGCAGTGAAGGAGGGTGCATTTTGTCCTTACTCTGTGACTCACCCTTCAGTAAAATATTTAGTGCATTGTCAATTTTAAATTAGTACTCTAGAGAGCATGTAAGAGGTAATCATGTGCATGATCAGTGGGCCACATTTTAATTTATGAAGCACTGCTGACCCGTTACACTATACAAAAATTTGTCACATGTAGCTCTGTACTTTTTTTTCTGAAACAAATGCTGTTCAGTTTTTACTGCCATGGGATGTCTTAGAACAGCTACCAAACACTTTGTCCTCTGTTATCCATCCTTGTGTGTTTCTGTTAATCCTAAATTTCATTTTTTGTCACATAACAATCCTAACAGTGCCAGCAGAAATCTGTTAATATTCTTTATGATGGTACTGTAGATCAGATCCATATTCCAGAAAAGTTGCAGGTTTTTGTCCACTTGCAGGCTCTAGAAATGTAGATGATCTTAAGGTCCTGTCCATTCCAAACCATTCTGTGATTATTTTTTTTCCTGGAAAACTGTTGGAAACGCACAGTGATGAGTATGTTTGGATTGGTTGGGGTTTTTTTTACGTTTTTTTGTTGTTGTTTTTTTTTTTAAAATAACAACCTTTATTACAAAAATTACTTCTACAATATTTTTTAAATTATGTCTGTTACTAAGTTGATTAGCAGGCACAAATCAGGCTAAAGCAATGTTCCCAGGTTATTCTATATGGGACAACAATTATTTCTAACTTTAGTATTTTCCAAAAGCAGTTACTTATTTTTCTCTCCTTTTTTTAATAGATCACATTATTCTTTTGTTGTTCATTTCATTCACCATATTGCCTGTGTCTGTAAGTGCTGTCTTTGTCTGGAAGGATCAAGGAACTTTCAGTTGCTTCCTGATTTTTAACTTGCTTCGTAATTGTAACACCCAGTACCATGATGATCTCGGTGATGTTAGGTTGGGAATTCTAAAAGCACTGAATCCTTCCTGAAGGTGCTCCAGCTGCTTTCCAAAATCTTGCTGCACCTTGCAGAATTTAACTTTTCTAAGGTGTGCTCAGCCTGGTATGTTCATCTAGTAAACAAAACAGATGTTTCCATTGGTCTGTACTTACATTAGGTATTAAGTACGTAGGGGTTTGTGTTTTGCATCAAAAGTTAACTTCTTACTCAATATTTTTCATAGCTGGCTGGTAATCAAATCAGTGATTCAAAACAACAGTTCATCTCAGTTCAAGGACAAATGATGGTTGTAGATGTGTGGGCAGACAGTAAAAGAGGAAGTAAATTAGGCAAATTATTTAGAAAGTCTGTACAGATTATGGGCAGTACATGTTGTAAAAGAAGCAACTTGGGACTGGGTAGGAGTTTTAGGGTTTGCTGAAGGTGAGATATGCATTTGCTTTACTGGATTCTTTAATTCAGATGACAACTCATGAACAGTCCGAACAGCCTGCTTTCTTTAACAAAGCATTCCTAGAATTAAGACTTAGTGGCCATGAGTGATCAATTCTACTAAAAATATAGTTGAAGCCCCTTCATCTAAATGTAGGTTTTCCTTTATCTTCTTTGAGAAACGAAACAGGATCTAAAACAGGAGCTTTTCAGTGTAACCAGTATATGCCAGAGACGTTATTCAGTCTGATGTGTAACACTGGCCTTGAAATAAGAAGGAATTACATAAAGAGAGTGGTTTACCTTCAGGCAGACACCTTTTTCTTCCCCCAGAACTATCAAGGAGCTGCAAATAAGTGATGCATTGTGGGTGCTTTTGTTACCTTCAGTTATTTTGCTAGATTACTTTGGAAATTGTCTCTACGCTGTTTTTTTAACAAAGCCATTTTACTTTTAGAGATAGAACTTCCCTCTAAATATCTGTAATTATTTTGTGTTCATAATCATATGATATTGAGACTGGTAAGACCTCTTTAGATCCAAATAGCAGTTACTTTTTATTTAGCTAGGAGCTCTCCATGAGAGAGCACTGAAGCCAGTCAGAAGAATGATTTGCAGTTGAGTCTCATTAAATATGACAGCCTCCTTTGCCTTTTTTCACTAGAAAACCACTGTTACTCCAGCATGCTGAGAATTTGGATGATACATTGACAGCATTCCAGAAGTGTTCAGCTTACCTGCAGCTGCATATAGTTTAGGACTGTTAGGAAAGACTGCGGTGGTAGGAAAGCTAAAGATCATTATATCCATTTGGTTTTAAGATGCCCTATTTCCAGGTTTAGTCACAGTTTAACCTACCAGGACTTTCAGTCATTCCTATATATTTCTTCTCAAAAGAAATGTTTAGCAGGTATACAAAAAAAAAAATTGCTCACAGCCCATGGGCAATTCTGTTCTAATAAACTCTGGTTGTCCTGTGGTGTAGGAGGCAGGTAGCAGACTTCTGTGAATAAATAAATAATGTATGGAAGTACCTGCTTAATATTTAACAATGGAGAGTATTTGCTGTTGTGTTCCTTGTGCATGCCAGTTTAGTGACACATGCTTCAGGGACAGTCTGGACATCTACTTTGTGGGGAAGGTGCTGTGTCTATTTGATAAAAGCTGAAAAAATATCTCAGTGTCCTTTGAATAAATACAGTAGGATGTTTATTTTTTATTTTGACATTTGTTACACATATGAGATATGAATAATGGGCATATATTTCCAAAATCTGTTTATCAGAACATTTTTTAAACCAAAGCAGACCATCACTTAGATATGGCCTTGTGAGGATGTCTTTTTTGAGTACAGCAGTAGTTAGAGCTGCACAACTGCAAGAAATGTGGCATTATGATGGAAAAGTTTTGTGTAGTAGATATCTCAGAATACAGTTAAATATAATAGCTTATGTACTGTATAGAAGGTCTAAAAAAACATCTTAAAAATGTTATAGAGCTTTGAGAATAGAGGCTTGCTTAGTTATGGAAATACAGAGACATGCTGAGAAAAGCACTGAAAGACAAAAAAGCTCAAGCAGTTAAAGAGTATGTCTGTCCTCTCCTGTGCAGAGAAGGCTGCCTGCTTCACTTCTGCCGTAATTAGGACAAAACAGTGATTTGAAGGGAGAAATTCTCCATTTCAGAACTAAATACCATGTCCTTTTTCTGAGGTCTATTCAGATATACATGGGGTTATAAATCTGAAATCCAAGTTTTGTTGACCTGCAGGTCATAGTTTGTTGCTGTGTGCCAAGACTTTGGTTCTGCAAAGCCCTCTCATTAGTGTTCACAATCTCTGTTCCTCTGCAGACACTTGAGGTGCTGCCGTGTTAGAATAAACCCTAATGTAAAGTAAAACCATGTACATGGATGGTTTGAATTTATGAAGCAGAAATTCAGAGCTGAATTTCAGGTAGAACAGATCTGAGTTGCAGTGTTTTGCTTTGCTCTTGGTTTTGGTTACATATATTTTATTTCAACCTTTGAGTTCTCAGTTGCAGGATTTTCTCAATTCTGGTAACTCCAGCAGTGAGGTGTTTTCATGGAGATGAATTTGCTTCACTTTTTCCACAGCAGGATTAATGTATTATTAACAAGGCAATAGACAAGTCTGTTTTAAATAATTAAGCAGGTTTCAGTAATAGATGAACTAAGGCAGGGGGAGGAGGGAGAGAGAAAGAAAAGAAATGAAACAGAGATGAGTTTATATTGATAGAATATTTTCTTTTTCTGAGCAGGCCTTTTTAAACTTGTTTTAAACTTTTTAAGCAGAATACAGGTTATCTTTCTGTCATCTATGTGAGACCATAAAAAAAAAAGCAGATCCAAAAGCCTCAAACAAAAAATCATTTAAAATAAAAAAAACAAAACAAAACAAAACAAAAAACAAAAAAAACCACCAAAAAACAAAAAAAAACAAAAAAAAAAAAACAAAACCAGAAAAACCCAAGCAAAAATCGCTTAATATCCAGGGATGAAAATTTATGCTGATTCACTGATCACATTGAAGAAAGCTTAAATTTATCAATTAGTCTCCTTGAAGACAAACACTCTCCAGATGAGTTACAGGCTTTTAAATCACAGTGAGCACTGGATACATAGCCCCTTTAATACTTTTTGTTGTTTTTTGTTTCAGTATGGTTTTTAATTGTTGAATGGTTAAAGCACTTTCAAGTGATGTTTCTGTGCTGTTGAAAACTAGAACAGCACTTGGTATAGTTAAAGTCTTTTGGAAACACTTGAGAGATACACACTAATTTTTTCAGAGTGATACAGGAAGCTACATTCAAACTATGAGTTCAAGTGAAAGTATAGCTAAGGAAGTCTGTACTTGAAAGTAAGAAGTAGCCAGCACTGAACCAGCTTCCAGGGGCCCTGCTGTGCTGGCAGCCTTCCATCCAATATGCATGCTGCTGGACAGACCTTACCCATGTTGCATGTGTGTGTGATCTGACAGACAGTCAGAGTCCATACAGCCTAAGATTTTATTCGAAGAGAAGTTACCAACTCACATTTTGTGGTTGTGATACTGCATAGTCCCTGCTATTGGCTCAGGTGCCCAAGAGACCTGAAATGGGCAGAATGAAGGACCATCTTTTCCTAACAGGCTCAGTTATATTTATTGTTCGCTCATTCAGACTTTTCTGTGTCATATCCAAACCTCTGTATATTCTTAGGTATATTTTTTATTATGTATTTGGGACTTAGTATAGAACAGTAACAGGTGGGGGTCTTTCTTCAAAGACTTTGACAGAGGTACACAGTTATTGCTTAGGTCAAAATCTCTATTTTTGTAACTTCTGTTAATTTTACTGAAGAAATACAACTCAGTGACACTCAGAGAAGTAATACAACCCAGAGACACTCATGGGCACTTTGTTTGTTTTTAAAAAGGTAGTTTATTCAGAGCTTTCGCATAGGTAACGTGTAGACAGTGAGGTCTTTCAAGTGAGATTGTCAGTCGTTGTCCAGATGGTGGCAATTGTCAGGAGGCTTCATCCTTGCAGGGCATTATCAGCTGAATCAGGGGAGATTCCCCAGACTAAGACTCCCCAGACTGCTTTTGCTCTCAGGTCTTACATACAGCTGGTCTGTGATCCTACATGGCCACTCTAGCACACGTGGTCCATTACTATGGTTTACCTTAAGCTACATATGAAACGCCTTCTATATAAACTGTGTGAACATGTGATTGTCTGTCATACACGACCTTATCTGCATATGCAGGAATAGTTTCTGTTGACTACCAGAAAGTTTCTTATCCGTATGCAGTTTGGTTCTTTTTGCAGCAGAAACTGTGTGAGAGAGCTGTTGGGCCAGCCAGCCAACCTACCCAGGATAGTAGTTAGCACCCTCTAGTTATGAATTGTGCCTCTTACTTATCCCAGGAAGAACCTGATGGGGGAATCTCTGAGGTTGCCTGAAATTCCTGGATGGAGAGGTTGTATAGCAATTAGTCAAATGTGTTGCTCTGAAGTGAGCACTTCAGTTGGCTTTGTCTCAGGTCAGCTCGTATCATCTGTGCACAAACTGGCCAGGGGCAGGTCCTGGACCAGCCATCAGTTTGCTAACTGGTGGATAAGTGCACTGGGTATGCACAGAGGCAGTTACACCACAATTACAATTATACCACAACTACAGTCGAAGCTGGGTTTCACCCTTATGTCACAATTATAAATTGATACATTGTGCCACAATATGCATGTATGTGTACAATAGTTCTGAATTGGCTTTACTATTTCAAACTCTCCGTTTTTAACAATGTAGTTAAAGCAAATTTACACAAAGATGCCTGATAGTGATGTTTAGCATTGTAAGGAACTTCAGCTTTCAGTTCTATTCTTTATGGGTACTTTTTGTTGTCTAAAAGCTATGAATATGTTGGTGGTCCCGGTCTACATTTTAATGAATAGAACTTGAACTGTTCAAATCACAGTCGACACTCTGCCGTGGCACAGTTGTGATAAAAACAAAGACATTTGCTGCCATAATTGAGCTGTACTGGGCAGTGCTTGTGAAATTATACTTGCATGTGGGACCTGAATATTTTCATATTGCTTTGGCATTTGTCTAATGTGTATGGGTACCTTTTTATCACTAAAATAAAATAAATTTAAAAGCCTTGCCTTATCCAGTTGCCTCCTCTGAGCTAATGTACAGGAAGACAATATTTGCCATTCCTCTGCAAAGAAACCTTGTGTAGACATTAGTGTCATGTAAGTAATGGCCTTTTGTTTAAGTGTACCTTGCATTACTGAATTATTTATTGATTTCATGCCCTCTGTCCCAGCCTTGTATGTGATGACGTGACCCACTAGCTTACACTCTTTTAAGATATGCTGCTGGTAAAAGCGGGTAAAACAACACTGCTTTTGTAAAGCAAGAGTTTCATGAGCTATTCAGTAGCCAGCTGCATCTTGGTAGGTTAGGTGGAACACAGTCCTTTTCTGTTACAAGTTCTGTTACTAAATACCTCTGCACAGTAGCAAGGAAGGTTTCTCAGGTGGAGTGAGTTGCGTGTTAGAGTCAAACAACGCCAAAATTGAGATGGAGAATTTTTGGATGTACCAGGTTGAGTATCGTAAAAAAAATGTAAGTACATATTTCGGGAGGACAAATGGGTTAACTAGTGCTTTTTTGTTGCTGCTCCTAAGGAAACACTTTGTAATTCCATTGATGGACCTCTTTGTGTAATAACAGCATGCTTTTCATGAACTTACTATACTTGTTCTGACAGTATTTTTCTTAGGATTCTAAAACTTGTTTTAACAGATGGCAGAGCAGTCACTAAGAATTTATTTTAGACTTCAGTTGTAGTGGTTTGATCAGTTGTGTAAGTTCTCTATCCACTATGATGTATCAAAATATTTCTTGTTATTACTGTGACTGCATTCTTTCCTTGTGCCTTGTATATGGTAGCTCTAGAAGTGCATTTCAATGCAGAAGAGAACTGAGTGCTTATTCTTCAAAGACTGAACTTTTTTGTACAAATGTCTTTGGGGACAGTTCTCATGTAATGTCACATAGCAAACTTTATAGGATGTTTGATATTTGGGTTTGTTAACATTTTTGGTTTGGTTTGTTTGTTTTCTGTTTTTTCCCAAAAGAAATTGGGGCAGGCATTCAGATGAAGCACATGGAAAGCCATGTGATCGTTTTGATGGTTGCTTAATTCTGACACTCTGTAGATGAAAATGGTTGAGTAAGGGTATTTGTAGTGCTACTGGAGTAACTGTTAATGCATTTTAAATGGTGCAGAATTTTTTAATGTCAGCAACCGACTGGTTTAAATAAAATAATTTATAGTTAGCACTTTAGTGTATGAATACAAGAGCTTTCAGGCATTTAAAATGCCTTTCTGTTTGTGGAGACATTTGATGCTAAAAAAGCCAATATGCTCTACTTTATATCTTTGGTTATTATTTAAAGTTCAATTCTACAATATTCCACTGGTCATTATTAGGTTGAAAGTATTGCACATCCTTTGTATTTAATTTTACTACAGAAACACTGTGTAACTGTTGGGAATGTGAGCACTATGAGGATGCTTCAGTAAGTCAGTAGGAGTTGCCATTTGTGCAGTTGAGACACTATGTAACTGTAACCAGAGTTACAGGGCGAGTGTGGGGATCCTCTATCTCTCCTGCAGCCCCTGTGTGAATCCAGCAAGCAACCCTTCAGTGTGATGACCCACGCACATGCCTGTGTCCTAGGGACCGTTTCACAGCTACATCTGGTCAGAGGCTATTGTACAGCTGCATCTCCTTTTTGCCATGCAGTTTTAATTCAAAATACAGGGAAGTGGAAGGACTGCACTTTCATCTGTATAATGAGGAATTGCTTCTTAACTCTTTGGAAGCCTTTATTAGTTAATTATAATTCTAATATTTAGTAATTATTGAAGATAGACCTTTTAACAGTAGGATGGTGAAGAGAAATAGAGTGGAATTCTATTTTCTTGGTTTGTTCCATATCTGTGAAGCTAAGCTTGCAGTTCTAAGATTTATTTTTTTAATTATTTTTATTGTTTTTCTTTTGTTTTTCTTTTGTACACTATTTCATAGAACTCAGTGTTTCAGCTAGAGTGGGGGCATAGAGAAGGGAACTCCTAGACTGCAGCTGCTGCCAGCTCAGAGCACTAGAAGTGTAGCTCTTTTCTGGTATTATCATTGGCTTAGAGAAAAGCCATATCATGTAATTGTTTGTGAAACCAGAATTATAGTATTTGATGGTTTTGCCATCAGTGTTGAAATTCTGAGCTGGCAAAGCTAGGGCCAAACTCCCTATATCAAAGGAGAGTGCAGAATGCCAGGGCTGCTGGGGTAAAAACCCTGCTTGTATAGCTAAATATTGAACCTTCCTTTGAGAATTCACATTTTGGCATGCGAACTAGCACATTTTGCAGGTATGTCCTTAAGATCTGCCTTTAAATATGCCTGCTGGGTTAAAGCATTGTACTGTCTTCCATTTTGATCACCTTCATTAATTTCACACTCTCTGTTCTTGTGTCATACTCCCATAGCATTCCCCCTGGTCTGCACTGTAGATACGTCACAACAGCTTTTTAGTGTCACCAACATTCATTATGAATTGGCTATGATTAAAATAGCCTTTCTCAAGGCATTCTTTCCATTTATCAAGATACTTGCTGAAGGATCGCATAGGTCTAGATATTCCATAATAGTGTTTTTCTATGCTGTTCCCTTTGTTTTTCTGTTGTGTCATTCTTGATGATCATGAATAACTAGGACAGGACTGGAAAGACAGTTTCTCCACTGAATTGTTTACAGTGAAAGGAGAAAAATGAGGAAAGCTGATCTAGAAAGCATGTATAGTACTGAAATTGTAGTATGAACTGTGAAATATTTTCCGAATTTGCACTTTATCTAAGATGAGGAATCACAGTTCTTGATTACACTGGTATCAAATAGTCCTTGAATATATTCTAATTAAGCCCTTGAATACATTAGTAATACCTTGTACAATTTATAAAAGCTATTTTCTAAAATGACAGATTAACATTTGTGGGCAATCACTGTGGCCTACCTCTGCTCAGATTAGATTAGTTTAGCACTTCAGATTAATTATATCTGAGAGCATGTGTGCTTATGGGGAAATTGCAGTCTTTTCTTCACTCTCCTCAATTTGATGACCAAGTAATCTTTAGCTGAATCCCTGTGTTCTGGTCATGGTCAACTCACCTGTTTTACCACAGCTTGCTTACTTAGTGACTATTCTTTCCTAGCATATCAGAGTTTAGGATATAGGTTTGTATTGCCTGCAGCCTTCAGAAAGCTCAGCCCAATACCAATATCAGATGATCCTCCATCTGCCTTGCAAAAATACAATTTCATATCACACTTTTTTACTGAGTGCTACTTGTACAGCTTTTTTTTTTTCCAAATGTTTAATTTCTTAGATTACTAACAAATAAACACAGGGGTTTTTTTAAAGGTTTAGCTGTTGAGGGTAAGTCCACTGAGATACTGGTATGTGATCACTATGAGAAAAAGCAAGGGTTGCATTTTAAAAGTGTTTGTCTTGGTTGTTTTTTTGGGGCTTTTTTATCTGTTTGATTGGTTGGTTTGGGTTTTTTTTATTGTTTTGTTTTGGTTTTCCCCCTCATCTCTTATTTCCACTGCCAAGTTAGAGGAAAATATGAAAGAAGAATTTCTACATTGGTCATTCAGATTATTATTAATTTTCTTGTCATGTCTAGTCTCCATCTCCAGATTCCTCTTCACCTCGGGGTGCTGAATCAAGTAGGCAACATCAGCAGGAGGCCTCCACTAATAAAGAGGTAGAGTGAAATCTTTCTAAAATCCACAGTCTTCATGTTGCTTATGCTTTTTTATTTTTCTTGCACCCTTGTACCTGTGCAATCCTTTCTCTTCTTCCAAAGTTGCAACAAACTTGAAAAGCTGATTTGTTGATCCTTTCCCTTAAGCTTGCCTGGCTGTTTGACTGAATTTCAATGTACTTAAGACTGTTTATCAGAGCATTTCTGAGTCTGTGTTCAGCTGCCACTGGATTTATTAAGCAGGCTGGGAGGTATTGATTTATCAAACAGCAAAATCATCTCTGTCTCAAAGACAAAAGAAAACAGCCCTTTCTTTTTTTCCTTGCAGAATATATTCCTGCCAAGAAAAAAAATGTTTCTCAGCCAGATGAAAAAGCTTGCTTACATGAAATTAATTAGGTCATAATTCGTGCTGCCTAATGTTTTGCCATTGTAGAAATCTACTTGTCAGTGATTCACAGTCAGAATTTATTTCCAGGCTTCTTAAAATAAAGCTAAATAAAATGCTTTCTTGCTTACCAACACAAAATAAGTCATGTGAGTAGAACTCACAGTGTGAAAAGAAAATAATTTGGCATTAGAAGTATTTGGATTAGTATAGAATGGCTGGCTCTGTTAACAGAAATATCTGCAAATATTTGGTTTGTTTGTCTTTTGTTTTTTAAACTTCAGAAAAATGTAGGAACTGTAGTCTAACAAGATACCCTATTGTTACTGATAGCAGTGCATGAGTTACGTTGCACAGTGGAAAAACCTGATCTAATATAATTGAAAATACTGATTAAAATTAAACACTAATTAGTAATCCATTATTTCTTCTTTCTTTTGCTATTGTCAAGGGATAAAAAAGCTTGTAACAGGCAGGTATTTGTGCCAGTCTGTATTTGCATTTAGACAATAATGAAAGGTTTCAAAAGACTTGAGAATCTCATATACTAAAGCCTTTAAAAATAGATAGCACCATTAAATTTTCATCTGCTGTATTGTTAGCTTGTTAAAGCCTTTAGCTTTCCTCAGTATAGATTTTTGTCACTTCATATATATCCTAACTTTTAGCAGTTTTTAGACATCAATAAACTTAGCCAAAGGAAGAAAATAAACAAGACACTACTCATTTCAGTTTTTAGGTTGTGTTCACACGTAGTGTCAGAGATGGTAAACCAGGTTTCACAGTAGAATCTGTCAGGCTGTTTGTTTCCCTTAGATGAGCAATAATTCCTGTTTTAGTACTTCCAAGGCAAGAACAACAGTGATAAAGCAGCATCATAATTTTGGCAAATGACTTTTAGGTCTTAGTGAAACCTGATTTTTAAATATAAATTTCGTAATACTAGGTAGCAACGAGGCTAACAAGAGAAATGAAAGATTAATGGCTTTGATATTTCACTGTTCATGGATATGTAAAATTAAAAGGTGTAGGTTTCCTCCAGTGGTAACTTTACCTGTTACTTTACGATTCCTGTGGTCTTAGTAGAGTGTCTTTCAACCTGGGTAATGACAAAAATCCCTTGATTTTTCGTGTGAGTTTTTGCAATAAAAGCATATGTGATAACAGTTTACACCTCTCTGCCCTGAAAAGAAGTTGCGTTATCTAGTCAGATTGCTGAAGAGTTGCCGAATCTGTAATAACAGACTGTGTTCACTCTGTTTCAAAAAAAAAAAACCAAAAAAACCAACAACAACAAAAAAAAACAAAACAACACCACCACCCCCCCAAAAAAAACCCAAAACCAAACAAACAAAAAAAAAAAACTTTGGAAAGTGCATTTATATGCATGAGCTGTCTCTGGTGCATAGGGGGTTTGCCTTCTAGGTTTATCAGAGTCAAGTGGTTGAATCTGCCTCTTACCACTGCACCCCTAGCACTTATAGACAATTTTTAAAGTCTGTATGGGTAGGTGGTCCATTGAAAACATTCATCTGAAGAGATGAAAGAGATATGAAAAGACATGTCAGTGTCCTGACAGAAGCTGAAGTGCTTTGGCAGTGGGAGGTCCCTGTTTATTGGCATCTTTATTTATGCTAGTACAATCTCTGATGGAGAGCTTTTTTGGTTTAGCAGTACAGTTTAGTCAGTTTCATGTGGAACAGCAAGTACTCAGAGGCTGCACAGGCTCTGCTGTCCATCGCACACCTTTTGCTTTTATTTCATGTCTTATGTTATGGCAAGATGAGCATCACTGGTTGAAAAATATTACTTTCTACATATATTTTCTCTTTGCTACAATGGAAAAGATTTCTTGGGGTTAGTCAACAGACCTACCACATAACTTTGACCTTCCTAGTTTACCTGTTTCTTCCACCAGTACCAGAACCTAGTAAGTTGCCTGTCATAAAGGAAAATAATCTGGTGTGTATTTCAATGTATATTGTCTGGAAATGTTCTGGAAAATGTCTTAAGATATTATGCATTATTCTAGGTTTTCTTTTAATAAAACTATATTAAGCAGTCATTGGAGGAGTTACTTATAATACAGCCAGTGACAGGTTCAGTGGCAAGCTTTGTAATACTCAGAGTATCCAAATTCTTACCTGCAACACATAGGATAGCAGCAGATATTTCAGTATCCTTATTACCATCTATATGTTGCCATAAAGAATTTTCTTTGATAAGTTTTCCTATGTGGTTTACCTCATTGATTATAACAAAATGGTGAAACTTACTGGAAGGTGTTTCTTTCAGGTATTCAGAGTGTTAGCCATAGCGTCTTTCACACAAAATAGCTATTGCAAGTAAAGTCTTACTTTGAACTGTGTATTTACATATGAAAGTCAGTATTTTTTAAATTTTTTTACCTTTTATGTAATTGAAGCTACCAGGTGTAGTTTTGTGCTTGAGATAATGTACACAGAGTTGGTGGTGAAGTGCTAGTGAATTCAGTTACCCCACAGAATACAGTTTGCTACCTAACATCTTGAAATTTGGAAAGCTTTTTAGTGCAAGGGCTGCATTAATGCAAGGGATACATCTAGGAACAGTCCTAATGAATAATAGGATTTGGGTAATGAGTGACAGAATTTTGTTAATGAATGAGTGAGTGGGCTGATGATTTCATGGCTTATGAAAGCCATGTATTCAGTATAGCATAATTCTATATATTCCTGTATGCATTTATTCCTAGTTGGAAGATCCAGTGTCTTTGAGATATGATGTATTTCTGTGCAACTTGTTGATAGTAAAAGTAGAACACCTATTGGTAGCAATTAGTATACTGTTGAACACCAACAAGTAACTGAAAACTGGCCTTAGCATGTTGCCTGATAAAGACAGAAACAGAATGCATCAAATTTAACTCTAGTAGGTGCTTAGATTTTGAAAATACTAAATAAAGTAAATCTTAGTAAGTGGTGATTTTCCTTCACTAGTAACTATGACTGATTTACTTTTTAATTTTTTGGCGTATTTGTTCATACTCTCTTCTGTTTGAAATCCTTTTTGTCTTAATTACAGTCCAGAAAAAGTTTGGCTTCATTTCCAACCTATGTTGAAGGTAAGATAGTTCTACAATTTCTAAATCGAAATGTTTTTTAATATCAAAAAACCTCCAGTATTTGTAACGTATAAAATTTTATTTGCTGAAAAACAAAATCTGCTAGGATTGGGTATGCTGATTCAGATTAAATTGTGTCCAGTCTGGAACCTGAGCTAAATCCTACTATGCTCTTTCAGAAGTTCAGGCTTTTTTAGTGTTTCATTCATAGTTTCTGTGTCATTTCTGCTGGGTTTTTTTAATCAGTATCACAACAATACAGATTTTTTTATGGTATTCACACAATGCATATGAATATATGTGGACAAGGAAAATAGGCTAGGCAAGAAGACTGTAGTGCTCTTTCCAGCACTGATTCATTAATCCAGAATTGATTAATTGGATTAATTGGCAGGCCTGCAGGTGCTGCTTTACAGCTACTTGTCCTCATTTAAATAATGCTTACTATCTTAGGGTTAAGGTTACACTTGTACAAGTGCTTAATTTATTCAGAACAATGTGAAAGAGCAGGTTGCTTGCCGTATGAACTGCTGTTAACTTTTTTTATGAGTCTGCATTCTGAGTATACACAAGACTGTGTGCTGTAAAAACCACTTATTTTGTTATGAGAGCATGACAGAAGGAGAAAATTTGAAGTTTCATTTGCCTTTTTTTCCCCCTGGCAGTGGTGGTTCCATATGCTTGATGAAATGCCAGAAATACAGTTGATACCATACATCATTTAGGCCATCTTGGAAATCCTTGGATTGCTTTACAGTATGCTGTGTCTAAGTGATTATGTGATTGCTCTCTTTAGACTGCAAATTAATCACTTGTTTAGTCTTCAGTGTATAAACTGCATACTTTGGAGTCTGTGGCTGGAATGTCAACTAATGTAGATTTTGTATTTTATCTTGAAACTAGCTGAGCTTTGGAATTTTGCAGCAATGAAGGATCTTCCTTAGAACTGAAATTCATCTAGTGGTAGCCCTGTCTGCCAAGGGCTATCTTAAATAATCTTCCCCTCCTTAAAAAAAAAAAAGAAATTGTAAACTAAAATTTTCTTAGATCTTGATCCAGTGCAAAATTCCTTACAAAAGAAAATATTCCCATTTTTATGCACTAGCAGTCCAAGAAAATCTTCTAGCACCTATCCTACAGTTTCATTCAGATAATTTCATTGTCAGAGGTAATAAATTGAGGAGTCTTTCAAAAGCATTGCTGTCCATGTTCACCTTTGATGAAAATACAGCACATACATACCTTTTTTGTTTTTAATATGCTTCCTTCTGGGATTTTTTTTTACACCTTTGTCCATATTAAATGGTTTTGTGTTTTGGTCAAAAATCATACTATAAAGGGGTTTGTACCATTTATAGTGAAGGGGTGGTGGTGGTGAAAAAGTCTTGACATGTAGAGTAACAAATAACAACACTTAAAATGCTGTACGGTTTCAGGAGTGGAGGAGTGTGCAAAAATGTAGTTCTTCCAGATTCCTGAATTTCCCTAAGTTAAAGAAAAACATTTCTTTGTGTCATGTACTTGGAAGAGATTTGTTCATTTTGAGAGTTTTCCAGATACATAGTATCTGAACAAATTCTGCACACTGGAGATGAGCATCTTAAAATTACTAGTTGTAAACTTTCAGATTTAAAGAAACCATAAAGGAGACAAGCTTGCTTGTAAGATTTATACATCTCCTTCTGGATGTATATTTATCAGACTGATATTTATTTCCAGTTCTTTCTTTATTTTAATCTTAATAATGACTTGCATTTCTTTGGGCCCCCTCCTTATTCTGAGGGGTTGTTAATCTCTTCTGTTATAATTAGAACAACGTTGGCATTCTGAGTAATATTAAACTTTAAGCCCCATCACCTTATATCTGAAGATAACCCTTGAACTAATAAAAACTCGGTTCTGATATTATAGGGATTTTTACTTTCTTCTTAGAGTAATAAAAAGCAAATCTTAAAAGAGTTTGGTTTTTTGATTGTAAAATGTGGGCACTTTTACCATTAGCAATCTTTAAGATAATTTGCATTTTCACCTGTCTTGAACATCAACTGTTTTTCCTTACTTCTGAGAAAACGAGAAGCTTCTTAAGTTAACCGACCTCCCTGTTGGATCATGACAATTTTAACATGTAGTAAGGAGTTAAAATAAAACCAGCTTTCCACAAATGTCAATGGGAGTCAGATAATTAAGAATCTGTGGAACTAAGAGAATTGTTTTGCCATCGTGCTCTGTGCTTACCAACATCGTTATTTAACTCTGTACTTTACCCCAGTATCCTTGTTGAGACTGAGTGATTCTTAAAGGTCGATGGCATAAAAGTACTTTGCTTGATTGAGCAATCAGTCTTATTGGTAAAGAGAGATATGTTATACCTGTAAAGCATCCCTGGGAGTTTGTTCTGCCTGTTGTACTAACTGCAGCTAATGCACAAGTGAGCAAGTGGCTGGTGGCTGTTATTAAATTGCACCCTTCCTCTTTCTGTTTATGACTGTTTGTCTCAGAATTGCAAGGCTGGTTTTGGTGGATGAGGGGTAACTGTGTATGTCCCTTTGTAACAGTGAAAGCTCACAGAAATTTGCTCCAGGGTGATCCATGCTCACAAAAGAATGAGCTATTCTGAGAGACAGGCTGAACTAACAATTACAGCTTTTACTGGAGACATGATGTTTGCCAGATTTTGGTAGCAGGGGGACTACAGGGATGGCTTCTGTGGGAAGCTGCTAGAAGCTTCCCCCATGTCTAGTAGAGCCAATGCCAGCCAGCTCCAAGATGGATCCACTATTGGCCAAGGCTGAGCCCATCAGTGACAGTGGAAACACCTTTTGGATGACATATTTAAGAAGGCGGGTGGGGATGGGAAGTGTACAACAGTAGTTGCAGACAGAGAAAGGAGTGAGAATACATAGGCGAAGCAGCCCTGCAGACACGAGGGTCAGTGCAGAAGGAGGGCAGGAGGTGCTCCAGGCACTGGAGCAGAGATTCCCCTGCAGCCCTTGGTGCAGACCATGATGAGGCAGGCTGTGCCCCTGCAGCCCATGGAGATCCATAGTGGAGCAGATTCCACTTGCAGCCCATGGAGGACCCTACACTGGAGCAGGTGATGCCTGAAGCAGGCTGTGACCCCCATGGAGAGCTGGAGCAGGCTCCTGGCAGGACCTCTGGATGCACAGAGAAAGGATCCCAAGGAACAGGTTTGGTGGCAGGACTTTTAACTTTGTGGGGTACCCATGCTGGAGCTAGTCTGTTCCTAATGTTCTGCACCCTATGGAAGGGATCCACGCTGGAGCAGTTTGTGAAGAACTGCATACAGTGGGAAAGGACTCATGTTGGTGAAGTTGATAGAGGACTGTCTCCTGAAGGAGAGACCCCATGCTGGAGAAGGCAAAGAGTGTGAGGAGTCCTCCTCTGAGGAGGAAAGAGCAGCAGAGACAACATGTGTTGAAGTGGTAAACTGCAACCCCCACTCCCCATCCTCCTGTACCTCCTGCACTGAAGTGGAGGAAGTAGAAAACTGGGGAGTGAAGTTGCGCCTGGGAAGAAGGGACAGGTGGGGGAAAGGTGTTCTTATGATTTGGTTTTATTTCACGTTAGCCTACTCTGATTTGACTCGTAATAATTTCCCCAAGTCAAGTCTGTTTTGCCTATGACAGTAAATGGTGAATGATCGCTCCCTGTCATCTCAACCCACAAGCCTTTCATTACATTGTTCTTCCCTGTCTCGTGAAAGAGGGGGAGTGATAGAGCAGCTTTGGTGGGCACCTGGCATCCAGCGAAGGTCAACCCACCATAGATGTTGTGAGCATTTGCTTGGTGGTTTGTACCTTTGAAAGTACTGGTTGCTATATCATCATGCTAAACTGAAGTATTTCAGAGGAGGATTTGCATCCATCAGGTACAAACTCAAGTTGCCAGAGTGCTACTGGTTTGCTGTGGTTCAGCATGATTTTCTTCAGTGACTGCTTTCCTGTGTTACAGTTCCTGGACCTTGTGATCCTGAAGACTTAATCGATGGAATTATTTTTGCTGCCAATTACCTTGGCTCAACTCAACTGCTTTCTGATAAAACTCCCTCCAAGAATGTGAGAATGATGCAAGCTCAGGAAGCTGTCAGCAGGATCAAGGTGAGGAATAATTGCTGCTGCTTCTCCTATGGGTGCTTTAAGGTTGTAGATATGAACTTCTTATGTATGCAGTAGTTTTTTCATGTGAGGTTATCTGGGGTTTCAGAAAGGTTAAGTGCATCACTTTCTTTCTGCAAAATAAATCACATATTTAATGCTGCTTTTGAAAGAGGACTGATAAGGAAAAGTTACCAAATAATTTTAATTCCCTACAGTAGTACTTGCGCTGTGTATGCTAAGCCAGAATCTAAAGTGAGTGGTGGTCTAAGTTATGTATTACTTGGGTGTTGAGGGAAAATAAGATTAGGCTATAACTAATAAGTATTTCAGCTGCTTCTGGCTTGGCAGTTGTTACAACTGGTAGTGTGTAAATTTCTGCAGTTATTTTTGACCCTGCTGAGGATGCTAGTTTCTCTAGTACATAACAGCTATGAGCCGATACAGAAAGAAAAGAAAATCCTGTGGTGGTGCAGAGATGTATGGGAAAAAAATTTGTCCTGGAATGTGGTATATTATTTCTGTCCATTGAAATTAAGTATGGATGAAGTATTGCATGGTTGTAGAAGATGCTACCATGTTCCCACTACCCATACGTGACTGGATGGTAGGCACAGAGCTGTATCTTCTGCTAATTCAGCTAATCAACACAATCTCAGCTGAAAGTTTTCCTTAGTTTAATATCTGTGTGTTCTTCTTTTGTATAGTTTATTTTGGATTCCAACTCAGACTCTGTGCACAATTGTATAAAAGAGAGAGGATGAGAGACAGCATGTTATCAACATGGCTATTAGCACTGTCTATTAAGTCGGCTGATGCTTCTTACTGTTATTCCTTCAAATGTTTTCCATGCCAGGTATACAGTTTGGTCTGTGTATGAAACTTTGACAGGGAAGCTCTACCTAGAACTATTGAGACACTTCCAGAAATTATAATTTTGGTGATGTTCAAATACGTAAGTTCTTGTAACCTTGTCTCTGAAAATCACTGACATCTAGCATTTTCGAGGAGGCAGGGACATAGCCTTTCTGTTACAGATAAGTCACTTTCTGCTCTCTTTGTAGAAGTTTCACAAACTTAAGCAATAATAGCCTTTTGAAAAGGAATGATTTATCCATGTTCACTGGAGACTCTGAATTCAGTGACAGTTTTTAAAAAGATTTTTCACTCAGCTTTCTCAACTCCGGCAGATCTTGGTGGGTTCTTCACTGAACTACAGTGGAGACGTCCCCTTACAAACTGCTTCTTTACTGCTCTGGGTGCAAATAAGGCTGTACCTCTCTAGCAGCCCCCTTGGCCACATGGTAGAAAAATTGTCTGATTTGAATGCACAGGAAGCTAAAGGTAAGATAGAGAAGGGAGAGAAATAAGGGCTTCAGTGAGGTGGGATCTAGGAAGTTGAAAGAAAAGATTAGCATCAGCTCTCATAGGAAACTGGTATCAGGAGTTGGACCTAGGGCTGGGCAAGAATTTTGCGCCTAGGAGGTAAAGCTTGTCTGGGAGCAGGCAATAGACAAAGATTGAAGGGATGTACTAGAGGAAAATGGAGCAGAATTGATTCAAAGCAGGTCTAGGAGGTAGAAGAGTGTAGAATCTTTCCCTGCTGCTAACTGTATTTCTTGGAAATTCATTAACAAAATAAAGTTCTTTCTGAGGATTCTGTTATGCCTCAGCACTGCTGTGCCCCAAAACAGGAGAAATCTGTTTAGCTCATTTCACTCAAAACTCGTAATTTATACATCCATAAAAATCAGCAGGCATGCATGTCCTTGGTTGTAGTAAATTTGTCTTGGGATGGAGGCCCAAGTAGTTGCATTGTTGACCTGGTGAGACCCTAGCTAAAACTGTAAGTGTATTTCAGCAAATTATTGGCATACTGCATGGCACTCAATACCATCGTACACTGCTTTTCTGTTTCTAGGTGAAGCTCAGCCAGTCTAAATTTACCTCCCTGTACCTTAGGGTCTTTGGTTTATTAGGGTTGGTTTGAGCTGGTTTTGTTGCTTATTGCCGTTAAAGCTGAACTTTCTAAGTGAGAAATTCTTTATCACAGATGGAGTTCCTACTGCCACATTCGCCACTGCGTAAGATAGCCTTTAGCCCAAATGAGTGAAATATTGCTCACACAATGAGTATAATACTTGTGCCCTACTCATGTTTGTTTACAGAATGTATTACGTGTTGCATGTGAAACATTTTTCTGCAGTTAAAGAAAGCAAAGGTTATTAATTAAGAATGAACTTTTAAAAATTTGCAGACTTGAAGTTAAGAGTATTAAAGAGGCAGGGCAAAGCTTTGTTTAGAGCCTGCTGTGTACACATACCTTCCATGTGAGTGTATTTTGAATTTAATAATCTCTATGATGCTTTCTTTAAGCAGAGCCTTCAGACCATGTATTCATTCATTTAGAATATCAATAGATTTTGAAAACAGTTCTTCATGCTGCTTCTTTAAACAAGTAGCTCTCAGTTAAAAGTACAAGAGTTGGTTTTCTTGCTTGGGATTTAGTCTCTGCAAAGTCCAACTAAGTTAAAAAAGATACACCTCTTTGATGGCACTCATCAAATGTAGCTATTTCCCGTTACCACTGGGAGGTAATTTTAGGAAAGGCATTTTACCATATTCATTTCCTCAGCACAGAAAGAAATATCTTTTCACATTTTACTTGGAATGCATCCATAATACTTCTAACAGCAAAAAAGATGTTCATGGTTACAATTCACAGCTGATCTGCGTTGTAACATTTCACATGTGAACTAAAGATTAACTTTAATTTTGATTTTTCATTAGCACATTTTACCTGTGTGACAGGTTTGAACATTTTTAGATAGCAACTGATTTAATTACTGAATGTAATTTAAGATCATACCCATATGTGGAAATAGTTTGATATTCTGTACATTTGGTTTACTCAGTGTCATCTTGGTGTTCACTGAGTTGCAGTACTTTATTTGTATAGATTAAATAGGCATTAGTATATTTAAGACATCCCTGTAGCTTAAGTGGAAGCTTGCTGGTTCTTAACAATTTCTAATTTCAGAATTTCTACTAAGTAAATAATTAAATTTTATTTACCTTCAATAAAAAACCTAGAGTCTGAATATTAAACGAAAGAAAAAAAACCCAAACAACCAAAACAAAAAGAAACAAACAAACAAAAAAATTTTGTTTAGATTTGGTAGTTTTGGATTTGGCCTTTTTTTTTCCTAAAAATATAGAATGAATCTTCTGATCTAAATTAGCAAAATAATGTGGTGATAAAAAGGATTTGTCTGATAAGGCGTCTTGCATAGAATTATACTAATTTGGTTTTTTTTCCATGGGCCTTACTTTCTTTTCTGATGTTTTTGTGCAGTGTTAAATCGCTTAGTAAAATCTGTTTTTCCATTTCATTACATTAGTGTTACTAAATATTTGAAAGTCATTCTTCAAAAAATAGAAAATAAGATGCTTCCATTGCAAGAACAGAATTTCAATAAATTGAATGATAGTGTATTTCGATTAATCTTTGATTCTGCATTGTAAACCTCTAGCTCAAGGATATTTTTTCCCCACTTTTTCTTCTTTTTGGCCTGTGTTTTTCTTCTTTTGTGAGGCCAATCACTCTGTGAAGTTGGAGGAGGGAGGGAAATTGAAGGTTGAAGGGAATCTTGATTTTGGAAAGCAATTTAAATGCTTTTTCTCGTGAGTATCTCCCCCTTGTCCAGTGTATGGTAGGCAGCTGTTATTCAAAATGAGTGTCCAGTGTAAATTAATATCAATGTAATGAAGAGCCTGCAGCATGAGGCGATTCTAATTGCTTTTGCTTTATTTTGCAATCCCAGGACACCAGGCTATCAAATATGTCTTAGTTTTAAAAAGGTGACTAAAAGCTAATGTGAGAATGTTTATAAATAAGCAGCATCATCTCAAGTTTCAGTAGCTGCTTTGAGTTTTGTTTAGGCAAAACCTGACAGATTTAAGTTGTGAGCATCAGTATAAAACGTTTGAGGTGCTTTGTGATTCAGGCCTTCTGTTTGTTCTTCATAAAAGTAGCCATGCCTCTCGGTGAAGCCTGTAATTGTAAGCCTCCTTCCCACGACAAATATAAGTTAATTTAATTAGCTAAGAGGCTGTTACTGTTGGAAGTAAAAGGATATCTGCCAGCCTGGTGAGTATTGCATTTCTTTAGTAAAGCAGGTCTGTAAGTTCAATTTACCTTGGTTTGAATTAATTACTGCGGGACTGTAGAAAGAGGGCTTATTTGTGTCGTTACTGTTGCCACAGTAGTAGCACATAAAGAATCAGTTTGTTGCAAGGGGTTGATACATCTCCGGATAGAAGTCAATTAAACTGCCTAGGGTCAAGAGATCTGTTTTCAGGAGTTTGTGGAACCAAAGCACATGCTCCGCTGCCTTCTTGAAAAAATATGGTAGTACGGACATGCCTTTGTGCAGGTGTCACAGGAAACCTTGCTGTCCAGATACGCAGTGCTAACATTGGTATCGGTGTATCTGCACAGAAGGGAAAGAAAATGGAGGTGCAAGTTACCTTCTGAATTTGTTTCTCCAGAAAAAGGTAGCATACTTTTAGGGAGGTTATTTTCTGAAGATTGTTTAAGTAGGAGGGCATTAGGAAACTTGAGTCTAATTCTTCAGATTCTAATTCTAGAATTCTAATTCTTTAGATTGAAAAGAGATGCAGTTGTAATGGTTAAGATTCTTCTCTGACCATTTACAATGGTATTGCTTCAGAAGAAGTAACATGCTTTTCACTGTTGTAAATGAGAGAAGCTCTGGGTTTCTCTCTTTAAAAAAAAAAAAAAAAAAAAATCCTTTTTTATTCTTCCTGACTCTTTTGGTGCAGTTTCTTTCAAGTTTTTAAAGTAACTGTGCTAAACATGAAATTTTTTTTTATTTTTTTTTAATACTTTAAAAAGAGTAAAGGAGAAAATTATTCTAAGCAGGGACTAATTTAGAACAGCTAGTAGTCTCTGAGCCCTGGCATTAAGCATGCAGATTCCTGCTTGACTTGGAGTCTCTGTAAGTTCTTTTCTAACTATTCTCCTGTCTCTGTTTGTTCCATGCTAAGCAGATGGCCCAGAAATTAGCCAAAAGCAGGAAGAAGGTGCAGTACAAACTCCATCAGCTTGATGTTATGCCTGTTCTTTTGTTTTCTGGGAGGGTTTTTGCTTTTCTTTTTATTTTGTGTTTTTATTTTCTGCATCCAGCAAGGTTCTTTTAGATTTATTTCTGAGCCACCATACAAGTTAACATTTCTCAGAAATCAGTTGCCTGATTGGCCATTTTTTGTTGCTTATCATTAGCCATTTCATATTAGAAATAGAGTAAATATTGGATTTATCAAACGGTTACAGGCAGTACCCAAAATGCATACTGGAGAAGCAGGACTGATATGGCATAGGTTTTAACTTGTAAAATGATAGATTAAAACTCAGTCTTTTTTAATTTTATTTTATCATCTTTTTTATAAGAGTGTTTTGTTTGATTGACAGATGTGTCAAATTGCTGGATGCAAAAAAGAAAAAAGTTTATGTGTATACACACTGTAATATGTGGAGATTGACTCATACTAGTAATAAATTTCATTTGTGGAGTTTTTAAGTATCTTTTAACAAATCTAATTTAAAAAAAAAAAATAAAAAATACAAGTGTTTGCTTCCTGCTAACAAAATACGACTTCTAAAGTGGGTTAGTGCTTGAATAGTATATTGTCTGACTGTGAAGGTCTTCTTACCAGAACTGCATTATGAATTGGTTAAACTGTACCCACCTGTGGTACAAGTTTTTTCGCTGGTCTTAGCAGTCACTGTTAGCCCATATAGAAATTCCTCAGGCAAGAGTTGTTGTTAGGCCTTTCTATGGCTGTATGAAAAACCTTTTAAGTGGGCTTCATATTGTGGAGAAAATGGGAGAATCATTTTGATTATGGTGAAATCTTTATATAGTTCATGTTGCAGTCAGATATAAACTTACTGAATAGGGGAAAATATCAGGGAAGCTTTTATGGGGTTAGCATTTTTTTCAGATAGTATTGACTATCACATATATATATCTATAGTTTCCGTATCTTTGTGTTTAGCTTCTGCAGTCTAATACTCTTATCTTGCATTGCTGTTCTGGTGACTGTGTCTTAGTGCACCCCTGTTTGTGAGCTAACATCCTTAGTAATTAAGTTACCTAATGTGTTTGTTTGACTCTAATCTATTTACTTGCAGGCCCCAGAAGGTGAATCTCAACCCATGACTGAAGTGGACCTCTTCATTTCTACACAGAGAATAAAAGTACTGAATGCAGACACACAGGTATATAGACAAAGACACGTTTGCCAGCATTGTGGTAGTAGGCTACTGAAATAGACATTCACCTACCTTCTAAAATTCGTCCTTCAAAAACTGCTGGCCTTTGTATTTCCCTCCAGGATTTCCTAGTAAGAAATCCATGCTCAAGAACCATGTCATATGTGCAATTACTCTGGTGTGTCTGTGTAGAAATCAGTAGAATTTGCGGGTAAGCTAATTGCAGTCAGCCCATTTCTTGTAAGCCATGGTGCATTGAGTATTGATTGTGTCAAAAGTAGCCCAAAATGTTTGGTTATGATAATATGAAGTTGATAGTCCTTTGTACATACATGCCGAGTGTATTCAGGTTCTGTTATTGAGGTCTTTATGTGCTTTTCTGCAGAAAACACAACTTTAATTTGTAAAATCTGCTCTTTGCTTTACTTCTAGAAAGTGAAGCTCTTGTTTTCTATCAGCATCTTCATGTATGACAGGTATTACAGACTTCACTTAACAAAGGTCTTATACTGCAATTTGTTTGCTTTCATAATACTAGGTGAGCAATAAGAACTTTGTTGAAAAGACTGCTCATGTTGTTTTTTTTATTCCTCAGGAAACCATGATGGATCATCCCCTGCGGACCATTTCTTACATTGCAGATATAGGAAATATAGTTGTTTTGATGGCTCGTAGGCGAATGCCACGGTCTAACTCCCAAGATAATGTGGAAGCATCTCACCCTTCCCAAGATGGAAAGAGGCAGTACAAAATGATTTGCCATGTCTTTGAGTCTGAGGATGTAAGGAATAACTCTGTCTTGTATTTATCACTGTCACTTTTCCTTCTTCTGAGACAGTTGTATATTTAGAATAATTTACCCAGTAACTGACATAAAAGCTGTAAGCCCTTGAGCAGGTATTGTCTAGAATGTGTCTCTGCTTGGAATAGGGTGACATCACCAAATTTTCAACTTTATTTAGAGCTGGATCTTCAGGTGAGCTGAACCCTAGTGATATGTCCAAATGCTGCGTGTCTAAATGGGAGTTATCTTCTCCTGGAGAGAAGATACATGTGTATGAATTTTAAGTCTGCATTTGTTTCCTCATCTAGGTTACTGACCTAGGTTCATTAACTTGATGATCTATTTTTGAGTGTGATTGTAACATAGAAGGTGTCAGTGGACAAGACCATCATAATGTTTCACCTTTTTCTTTTTTCTTCTCTGGGAACTGCTACAGGCACAGCTGATTGCACAGTCCATAGGTCAAGCATTCAGTGTGGCCTACCAGGAATTTCTGAGGGCAAACGGAATCAACCCAGAAGACCTCAGCCAGAAGGAATATAGTGACTTGCTCAATACCCAGGACATGTACAATGATGACCTGATACACTTCTCCAAATCTGAAAACTGCAAAGATGTATGTCTCATTTTTCTTCTGAAACAGCATTAAGCTGCTCTGTGCTACTTGCAGATCCATGCTGGCAGAAATCAGAAAACCATTACTACTTTGTATAAATGACCTCAGTGAGTTTAGAATATCTTCTCAAGTAGGGCACCCTGTCCTCAGTTCTGTTTCAAAGGCAAACAGTGAACCCCAAATTTATCATCAGTGAAATGGTTTACCATCTATTTGTATTATTTTTACCAAACAATTTTCTGACATGTTTGAAAATGAATTTAAGAGAGATTAACAGATTAATACAGTTTAAGAGATTACAGTTGTCATGGTTTAACCCCAGATGGCAACTCAGTACCACACAGCTGCTCATTTCCCACATTCCTCCCCACACAAGGGGATGGGAAGGAGAATCGCAAAAAAAGGTAAAACCTGTAGGTAGAGGTAAGAACAGTTTAATAATCAAAATAAATTAAAATATTATTATTATTAGATAATAATGATTGTCATTAAAAGGGAGACAACAAAAGTGAGAAAAATAAATCCCAAGGAAGACAAGTGACGCACAGTACAATTGCTCACTGACCAATACTCAGCCCATCCCTGACCAGCAATTGGTCCCGTCTGGGTGACTTCCCCCAGTTTCTATACTGGGCATGACATGCTGTGGTATGGAATACCGCTTTGGCCAGTTTGGGTCAGGTGTCCTGTCTCTGCTTCCTCCCAGCTTCTTGTGCCCCTTCTCACTGGCAGAGTATAAGACTGAAAAGTCCTTGATATAAGAGTAAGCATTACTGACTAAAAACTAAAACATCAGTATGTTATCATCATTGTTCTCAGACTTAAGCCAAAACACTGCACTGCATCAGCTACTAGGAAGAAAATTAACTCTATACCAGCTGAAACCAGGACAACAGTAAATAATAAAAGATTTATAGAGGCACAGGTATTTGCAGAAGTGGCCAATTCTATATTTTAAAGTATTTTGTATCTCAGATAATAAAGATGAACCAGTGTACCTGTACACAGGTAGTGGTTTTCCAATCCACAGTCATCAACTCTTGCAGTCTCTTGCTGTTTACCTTTGTCTGCTGAAGCCCAGGGCAGCTGAGTGTCTTCGACTCCAATTTCTTCTGTTCGTATGTTGTGAAGGGTTTTTCACACTAAGCAAAATCTATATTATGTAGTGCTGATTATCTCATGTTTGAATACAAATGAAATGTTGTAAAATGTGTACTTTATTTTGTTTTACCTTAGAATTAGGAAGGCAGGTTTCAAATAAGGAGGAGTATATATTTCTTGGTTATATGAATGTTTGGAGGGGAGTGATGGTAGTTCCATAAATGTGAAGAAACTTCTTGAAACATTTTTTCTTATGATACAGGTTTACATTGAAAAGCAAAAAGGAGAAATCCTAGGTGTGGTAATTGTGGAGTCTGGCTGGGGATCCATTTTGCCTACAGTTATCATAGCCAACATGATGCATGGAGGACCAGCAGAGAAGTCTGGGAAGCTGAACATAGGGGACCAGATCATGTCAATCAATGGGACCAGTTTGGTTGGTTTACCACTCTCAACCTGTCAAAGCATTATAAAGGTGAGGAGAATGTTCTGGAAGTTACACGTTTTAAAAGGGTTACATATTAGGAGAGCAGAAAGTACAGAACTTGTAAATTCTTAGAAAAAATGTTTGTATACCATTTTCCATTTTATGATCTTTGAACTACAGTGGGAATTAAGCTACATCAATTTGCTGATTCCCAGACAGTGAGCCATGCCATTTACTTGTGTAGAAAAGGACTCTGTGCAGAACTTCACGAAAGAATATTTTGTTCAGAAGGAAGATATTAAAAGATGCATGCTTAAAATTTTATGTGACAAATGGAGGCACAGCTGCCTAAATTGTCCTGGCCATATCAGCTGCTTTAATGCCTCCTAGTATCTGTCTGAAATAGAACTGATACCTTTTGTTTGTTTTCAACTATTTTTAAAACTTTTAAAATTTAAATTAAAGAAGTACTTATCCTCTGCAGGAACTTTGCTCGATATATTTAGAAGTCTGATGCTTCTCTGTACTTGGCTAATGGGATATTTTAATTAAAAGTTTTCTTCTTCTTGTCAGAAAAGTGTGTGACTGCAAAAAGCATGCAGATCAAATGGAACAGTGGCGGGGGTAGCCATAGCATAGAAGGGAATAGGTATTTCAGCATCAGAGTTTCAAGAGGTGGAAAGATGCATTATCAGGGAATGTTTGAGATTAAGGTATATGGACTTTGTTATTTATCAAAATAGCCCCAGAGAGCTCCTGCAAATCATAGTATGTCCTGTAGACAGGTAATATAATGGTGGTAGTGTACTATACAGAAATCCTTCTCTGATTTCTAGTAATATGCCTGTTAAACTTACTTGTTAGGCAACTTTCTGGTAACAAGTTGTATTATGTAATATGCTTTTTTAATTTAGTACTTGATAAAATTGTAAAGTATTTTTCATTTACAAAGTAAATCTACAAAGTAAAAAAAAAATTTCTAAAACTATGATGAATTAAGCTTCTCTGATTCAGAGCTTTGTCAGATGGACTTCTCATTGTGCTCATCAGTCCTTTCTCAAAATAGAAATAACCCACTTTGCTTTTTCCAGCTTCTGCAGACATTTCTCTTCCTGACTGATAGTTAACTTGCTATAGGAACTCTAACCATTTATGTTGTGTTCCTAAAGAGAAGATAGTCTGTTTGTCTGCAGGTCTTCATAGCCATGCATCTGGAGCTGTTCATACTGTGCTTTTGGTAACAAGTATATTTACCACTGAATGATCTCAGCATACAGTTAAATATGGCAAAAATATCTCAGGATTTCAGATTTCTTTAGCATGCATTAAGGATCTTATGAATAGATGAGAGTATTACGTAAATAAGAAGAATATCTTGCAAGCACTTCAAATAAGATAATTTCAGTATTATGGATATAATCTCTGCTACTAATTGGCCATAAACCAGTTGCAGACTGACAGAGCTTGGAAGAAGCTTTCCATATGTGGTGGTTACTCCCTAATTGTATTACGCTACTTTTATCTTTTTCACAAGCATCTGGTGCTGGCTACAATCACAAGCAGACTTAGGGACTAGATAAGCAAATAAAGTCAGTCAAATGGTTTCTGATCAGCATATATTACCAGTATGCATAATACTGGAAATTAGTAGTTTTTAAATGCATGCACTTTCTGTAAAAAAGTAAGAAAACCTTTGTCAGGAATCATATCACTTTTTTTCAAAGAATACATATAAAACTTCACACATTTATTAGGGAAGTAAGAGTGCAACATATCGACTCTGCTGAGGGCATGTAACCTGAGTGAACTCAGATGACTGAAATTAGACACCTAAATTCCTCATAGAAATGGACATCTCTGGTACTCTGCATGACTCCTACTACTCTGGATTTAGAAGCCTGCGGCAAAAGCCCCATAACTTTTGAGTAAACATGGTACCCACATCTTAGTATAGGTTGATTAGTCCCTGTCTTCTACAGTGTGTGTTGTTGTGAAGACCTGCATATAGAAGATGAATGACCCTTGAGCATGTGGAGTGTGCTGCTAACTCCTCACCAGAGTGGAGGAGTTAACATAATCATGGAGTTGGATTTCATACCTTCTGTCTCCTGAGAGTGGAGAAGAGGCAGTTCCCACAGCCATGTGCTTTGCCATTTTGTGGTCACATGCCCATTCTCTTGGAGCCACTTTCAACAAAGAGCAAAGCTGAGCTCACCAAGGTGTGGAAGTGAGGGCACCTGTTTCCCATGTGATAGTTGCATCCAGTTTAAGGTACCGACAAGCAAACAGACTCTAAGGCAGTTCACCCTGGTAGCATACCAGTCTAGTCATTCAAATCACTGCTGAATCTGGAGTGTAGATCAACAGAATCAGCAGCAGTAAACTGGATGTAAAGACTTCAGAGTGTTACCTTAGCTATAATAGGAAATATTTGTCAGAATTAACCTTTTGTAGTCAGTGTCAGACACCTCTTCATTGCAGTGGGACCTAGATTTCAATTGTACCTATAAAAGGAATAAAAGGAATTCAGAAGTAGGTAATGGAATTGTTGGGTGTTGTATTAAGTAATGTGGAAGTTGCTGTATTCTTTATAAGGCATTTCTTTCTTAATGTGGATTTTATTTATGCACCTATTTTTGGCTAATTAAGCATTTCAGAAAAATATCCGAAAAATATTCAGAAAAAAGTCTAGACCAACACTTTGGTTCAAGGTAGAGAAGGTTGCTTAGGGGTATACCCAACTAGGATTTAAATAATTCCAAGGCTGGCAACTCCACAACCTCTCTGGGTAATTAGTTCCAGTGTTTTACCACTATGACAGTAAAAATAAATTTTCCTCCCTCAGTTTTCTTCTCATAGAAAAGGAGTTCATGGTGAATGTGATACAACTTGTTTAGAAGGGAGAAGGCACAGAAATAAGGAGTACTGCCTGTACAAGCATGATGTGATCAGAACCTGCTATTTGCTTGGCAGAATTTGTTATATCCCAGTAGGGAAGCCATTTATTCGTAACTATATAAGCTACTTATTTACAATTTTATTTCCCAGCCACAGTTGTTGTTTTTTTTGGTGAGCTGCATTAGACCTGTTCAGTATTCTTCTTATATATGACTTATGTTATCAAACAAAGACATTGCCAACAGGAAACTAGTTTTCTTAAAAGAACTGTGTCAGCTTCTTGGCAAGAAAAATTTGATAATTTATCATTCATTTCATTTAATATTCTGATGCTTTTGTCTGGCATTAGTGACCAGATTCAGTTAGAATGCATACAAAGAGCTGTTTGTTCATGGCTGTTCCCATGTCAAAGTTTTAATGCTTCTCCTCTCCGGTGCTTATGTTAAACATTTTACTCTGTCTTTGCGAGCATTTTTCATGGTGATTTCTTTTCACAGGGTTTGAAAAACCAGGCCTGGGTTAAACTGAACATAGTTAGGTGTCCTCCAGTAACCACAGTCTTGATCAGAAGACCAGACCTCAGATACCAGTTGGGCTTCAGTGTGCAGAATGGGATTGTAAGTAGCTTCCGCACTCTCTGGTTAAGCTTAAATATGCACAGAAATTCTTACCCATTTGTGGGTAAGTTCTAGCATGGGAAGAGGGAAGCTGCTGTTCTCTCCCTCTCAGTAAACAGGACTTTGCATGTATGTTAAGTCTAAGATATAAAAGGTAAGTTACTCAGAGTTATTTTGTTTGTGACTCCACTTAGTTCACAACTTTGAAGCCAGCCAGAGGAAGAGATAATTTTTTTTAGGCTAGAGAAACAAAAATGTGTAGCAGAGGCTGCTTTCATTGTACATCATTCATGCATCTAAGCAAGCCGTTTCATGATCTCAAACAAGAAAGACTGCCCTTGATCCTCTTCTGTTGTAAGACCTCTGCATCCTGAACATTGTTAAACTGTGGTCTTTCATATATTCTTTTATTTCCAAACCAATGCATGTGATGTACAACATAGCCTTTTCTGACAGTTTGTTCTGCTTTTGGAAGAGAATTACTCATTTGTCACTAGCAAATTTTACTTTGAATCAGTGATTGATTACATTTTAGAATTTGTTGCAAGCCTCTGTGTTTAAATGCCGATTTGCAGTTTACAGGCAAAAATGGGTAATCTGAAGCCTCTGTTCCTTATCCAGACCCTGATAAATTTGTTCTTTCCTTTCCAGATCTGTAGCCTTATGAGAGGGGGTATAGCAGAGCGAGGAGGTGTGCGTGTTGGCCATCGGATCATTGAAATCAATGGACAGAGTGTTGTAGCAACACCGCATGAGAAAATCGTTCATATTCTCTCAAATGCTGTTGGTGAGGTAAGAGCAGGCAACGTGTCTAGGCAATATAACATAGTTCATCACTGTAACCAGCAACAAACAGTGGAAACCAGTAAGAAACATTATCCCTTAAGGGACCATTCTGGGACCAGTACTTTTTAATATCTTCATCAGTGACAGAGACAGTGGAACTGAGTGCACCTTCAGCAAGTTTATGGGTGACACCAAGCTCAATGGTGCAGTTCCTAAGCTTGAGGAAAGAGATGCTATTAGAGGGACTTTGGTAGGCTTGAGGAGTGGGCCGATGTGAACTTCATGAAGTTCAACAAGGCTAAGTGCAAGGTTCTGCCCATAGGTCTGGGAACCCCTGGTATCAGTACGGGCTGGGGGGATGAAGTGATTGAGAGCAACCCTGCAGAGGAGGACCAGGGGTACTGGTGGATGAAAACTTGGACCTAGCCATGTGAACTTGCAGCCCAGAAAGCCAGTAATGTCCTGGGCTGCATCAAAAGAAGCATGACCAGCAGATCAAGGGAGGTGCTTCTCCGCCACTACTCCCCTCTCATCATAGACCCCACTTGGAGTACTGCATCCAGCTCTGGGGTCCCCAGAACAAAACCTGTTAGAGCAGGTCCAGAGGAGGGCCACAGAAATGGGCAGAGGGATGGAGCATCTCTCCTATCAAGGAAGGCTGAGAAGGTTGAGGTTGTTCAGCCTGGAGAAGAGAAGGCTCCAGGGAGACCTTATAGCAACCTTCCAGTACCTAAAGGGAGCCTATGGGAAAGATGGGGAGAGAGATTTTATCAGGACCTGTTGTAACAGGACAATGGTTTTAAACTGAAAGAGGGTAAATTTAGGTTGCACATAAGGGTGGTGAGACACTGGAAGAGGTTGCCCGGCGAAGTTGTAGCTGCCCTATCCCTGGAAATTTTCAAAGCCAGGTTGAATTCATCTCTGAGCAACTTGGTCTAGTGGTAGAAGTCCCTGCCTGGAGCAGCAGGGTTTGGGCTATATGATCTTCAAAGGTCCCTTCAACTGTTCCATAACTCTGTGACTGTGCCTCCATTAGCCAGTTGCAATTAAAAAGTGGAAGTGAGAGCAAGCCAGTATACTATTTCTTTTATTATTTACCCGCAGTTCTCCTGTGTTTTACAAGTTCACTAATCTGAAAATACGAAGTGTCCACAAAGAAGTGGTGAATGCTCCGTCCCTGTTCGAGGCCAGGTTGGACAGAGCCTTGGGCATCATGGTCTAATGTGAGATGTCCCTGCCCATGGCAGGGGGGTTGGAACTAGATGATCTTAAGGTCTTTTCGAACCCTAGCTGTTCTATGATTCTGTGACTGATACTAACATACTGTTTCATAAAATTACCACCTAATAAGGGTACAAAAACCGTTGGGTTTTACTCTTTTCTTTCTGTCCTTAGCTAGCTCCCTCATCAATGCTCTTGTAGTACACATGTTAGGAACATTGATTAACTTGCTGTGTTTTCTCTAGATTCATATGAAGACTATGCCAGCTGCCATGTACAGACTGTTGACTGCGCAGGAGCAACCAGTTTACATCTAAAGCCTACACCTCACCGTCACAATGTGCATGGAGGATGTTTTTCCTCATTAGTGCTTGTTTCTCTAGTGCTGCATTTCTGTGTCTGCAGAGGCATTTCTCAATCTCTCTCTCTCTCCTTCACAGACACAAATACACTGTCTCTCTTTCCTCCCTCCCTTTTTCCTCTTCACACCATTCTCCTGTATTTTCGGAAGGGGCTAAATACACCTATGGGACTATTTTGGTTGCATCTTAATATAAGTGAAACTTCAGTTCCACATGCAAACCAGGAAAATAACAGCAGCATTGTTCACAGGATTCACAAAGAAGATTGACTCTGCTTCATGCTACATAATCAGTTTTATTTTTGTGGCTATAATCTTACGAACTGAATAAATTAAATGTTGCTGAGTGAAATGTCTTTACCAAACAGAAAGAAGTATAGGGTGAAAAGTGTTCAATTGGATGTCCTGCATGTGTCTTTGCTTTTCTTGCCCTATTTTCCCACAGACACTGAGCTCAGTATTAAAAGTTTATGTCTGTAGGAAAAGTACCAAAAAGATAGTTTCACCCTCAGGAAGAATTATCTGATTATGAAGACTCAATAGATGCTGCTATTGTAAAATGGACTGGCCAAATATACACCTTTAAATTCCCCTCTGTTTTCAGTTCTTCATGATAGTAGGACCCCAAAAGGTACTTTGTGAGTTGCTGAAACATGTTACACTTGTCTTTATTTACACTCAGTCATTTGAGAGGCATTTTTTACAGCTGCCTCCTCCTCTCTGCCCCCAGGTTTCTAACTTCTTTTCTTCTACTTTGTTTTCAAATGCAACATGTCTTATAGTCCCTTGCCTATTTTAGAGGTTAAAGGAGGGGGGGAGGATCTTTAAATATCTACAAGAGAAATAATGAGGGGATTTCATGGAGAGCTACACTTTTTCTAGGCTCTTCATTCCGAATTCGGTGCACACAACCATGTGTGCCAGTGTATATAGACCTTTTTAAAATTGTGCTTGCTATTTATGAAGTTTGAATATAAGAGATCTGCAGACTATTCTAAGTAATTTTGCTCTCTGAGCCAGTTTTAACATATATTTTTGTCCAAAGACCTGTCTAATTTTACTGACTTTCTCTTTAGTTCGTTAAATAGATAACAGTGGCAGTGGATGAAGTGGGGATAAACTTATTTATTTTGTTATATAATTCACCTTGTGATTTTTTTTCCATATGTATAGCACTTAAAGGAGATATATGTATACTATATGCACTTGTATGAAGATGATAAACTGTAGGGATGTATTAACTGTAGGATTTAATTGGCCTCTAACTTGCATGCTAGAGACAAAAGGGGAAAAAGGGGCTTGGTTGTTTTTTAAGGGTAGGAGGGAATAAGCAGTGGCTTGTCTTCCTACTGAGAGGAAAATTCTCCATTCTCTGTAGTTACTTTTTAGCTGGACTGTATACTGGCATTTATGCTGAAATTGAACCATGCATTTAGTCCAGGCTAATGCGTTGATTTCTTTTAAAGAAACAGTTTGCTCTGTTGTGACTATATCAGAAAGGCTCAGTGAGATGAAAACAAGAGCAGGCCACACACAGCCACAGACCACTTCTGCTTTGCTCTTGGATAACAGACACTTGTTTCTGTTATTGTGGGGTGGACTGTCCAATGTATTGTTTGCAGTCCAGTAACGATACCTGGACATTACTACGGAGTTTCATGGAAGTGGATGAGTGTGCTTGTACATGCATCTGCACACTTGGTGCAAACACTGCTAAGAACCATTGAGCACTCTTGCCAGAGGTCCATTTTTGGCTTTCAGAAATCATGGATATCCAGGGGCTGATCAGATGTAGAGAATAAGCTTAGTATTTCAGTGGGCAGTAAATATTTAGAAGAAAGAATGGAGTGGTGCATAAGCTATTGTAGTAAATGAGTATGTTTTAGTGTTGAGATTAATGTATGACGACTTGATTTTACTGCAGTTCTTGTTATATGATTTAATCCGAACCTCCAGAATAGCAGATTGCACAAGAGAACAGTGTTAGTATTCCAGGTTAGTACTTACCTCTGCTACCTGACTGATGCAACTAGATAGTGAACGACTTGTGAGTATATTATTTAACTGTAGACATCTGGTTTATGATCATTTGAACTTTTTTCCCCGAACTTTCCACATATATAGTAATATATGTAAATATGATATATAACCATGTACAATTTAGAAGATTATATGCAGTGCAGCCTTCCCATGAGTTGCCTGAGGAAACTTAGTGAACTCTTGAAGACACAGTTAGTATGCTTCTGGTTCCTGCTATGTTTACACCCTCTGCTTCACTTGTTTCTGTGGTTCTGTCCAGCTCATATGGTGGGGTCTTTAACTCACTTCACTGGGAAATTATGAAAACCTGAACATGCAAATGTACTTAGAGATTAAGCAACTGTTTCTTTGAAAATTTTGCAGCCAAGATTCCGTGAAGTTGCTGACACTTGCGTGCTTCCACAGTCTGTGATAAATTGGTGCTTCACATTAAGCAGGTGAATACTTGCAGGATCAGAGTCTAGCAAAAAAAAATCTCAGTTTTTCCACTTACAGTGTGTGCATAAGATTTCTAAACTGGGAGCTCCATAGTGCATGCACACTTCTGATAACAGTCTTGTGAACAATCCTGTTTTACTTTGTAAAGGGAAAGAGTTTCAAGAAAAAGGAGCTTGAAGGGGAAAGCTGACAGTTCTCTAGACTGTTGTGGGAGTTTCTTAAATTACACATGATTTTCTGACAGATTCAAAGGAGCAAACTGCTGGTTTACATTCCTTCTTTGGGGACAGACCTGAATTCTTTTTCATCCTTGCCACTTCATACACTCTAATTAACTCTTCAGTGTTTACATTAAGGATGAAATGTCCCTTATATTTTTTATTGGCAAGTTTCACACATTTGTTTTGAGTCTTGTTTGCATTTGAGACTCAGTTGGGACTTCCAGGTTTGCTTGCTTTGCTTGTTTTCTAAATGAAGTGTATTACTGAAGACTGCAGTGTGGTTGAGATCTCTTGCACATATTTAGCACAGTACCTAGGCAATGAAGTACTATTGTTCTGTAAAAGAGGGTGAATAGAAATTATTGTAAAGCGTTGGGAAAAGCATAGTATTGTATTTGTAACAACATTGTTCTTTGTAAACATTTAATGATCTCTATATATAAATATAAATATATATATAAATCT